AGAAAATAGGAAGGGTTGTTTTCTATGGGTGTCTCCCCAGTTGAAGAGCAATGGTCATGTTTTATAACCCCACAATTCTGCATCTCTCTTACTGAGCTGATTAAAGTGAAAATAAGAAAAATAGAAAACAAACATGTAACTGAAAATGAAAAGCGCAAAGCAGGCTGTGTGGAAATTGCTAGGAGTGCAAGAGAAAGAGGAGATAGGAAGAGACAGAAGCATGGAAGACTATATATGGAATAATATAAGCAAGGAGAAATAGAATTGTTAGGACTATATAATGTAGAGGAAGAAGGTCTCTTTTGAGTTTAAACTATCAAATGTCACAAAGGACGTGGTGGCTCAGTGGCTAAGACACTGAGCTTGTTGATTAGAAAGGCTGGCAGTTCGGCGGTTTGAATCCCTAGCGCCACATAACTGAGTGAGCTCCCATTCCTTGTCCCGGCTTCTGCCAACCTAGCAGTTCCGAAGCACGTCAAAATGCAAGTAGAAAAATAGGGACCCTTTGGTGGGAAGGTAACAGCGTTTTGTGCACCTTCGGCATTTAGTCATGCTGGCCACGTGACCACGGAGATGTCTTCAGACAGCGCTGGCTCTTCGGCTTTGTAACAGAGATGAGCACCACCCCCTAGAGCCAGAAATGACTAGCACATATGCGGGAGAGGAACGTTTACCTATCAAATGTCACAGAATGTAATTCTTCTTTCAGAATCCTTGAAATGCCTTGAAATGTAGATTATTATTTTTTTTGCAGTCAAAAGCATCAATTAAATTAACATCTTTTAAAAAAATACTAGTTGGCAGGCTCCATAAAATGACAAGACTTACACCGCTTTTCCCTGCTGTTGAGATGGATTACCAGCTGATAAACCACTCTCGGGCTTATTTATGGCAATATAATAAAATACATTATAAATATGTGGGGTAGATTTATATGTTATAAACTATCACTTTTCTAGCTCTGTTAAGACATCTGTTCTTGGGATGTCACCGAGGTTGAAATAATGATCTTAGTTCTGGACTCTCATCATGCAAGATCCATTCTTTCTACTGAGCTTCCTAAAGACCATTCCTTCTCACAAGACAGCAACTCCCCTGAGATCAAAAGAGGCAGATTCAACTTCTAATTTCAACTTTTGGATGGAGAAGAGTCCTCTCTGCCAGAAAGCAGCCTGGATCTGGATGGAGAGCATAAATAGATATTCCTTAACAACTTCATCATCTTCTCATTCATATTTTGAAATCCTTTATTCTTTCTTCGTTAGAGCCTTCTGTTATATTTATTACATCCTTGGGACTTATTCACATGTGGGATGTAGTGATCCTATAGATGAGTGTAATAATCTTGGGGAAAAACCAAAGAATATTCTCAAAGTTCAAGAGTTCAAAGTTAAAGAAAGATCCAACCTAGAATTAAGGAGGAATTTCCTGACAGTGAGAACAATTAATCAGTGGAACAGCTTGCCTTCAGAAGTTATGGGTGCTCCATTACTAGAGGTTTTAGGAAGAGACTGGACCGCCACCTGTCTAAAATGGTTTAGGATCTCCTTGAGCAAGGGGAGAAGACCTCTGAGGCCCTTTCTAGCTGTTTTCTGATTGAAGCATGAATCGTGAACATCTGGAATGAGTGATTTGGGAATAAGTGAATGTGGTCGAGCTAGAATGGAGAACCATAACTCACCTGTCTGTTTGTTTATTCAGTTTCTATGGCTGCCCAACTCAACCCAGTGACTCTGAATGGCCATACATAGTATATTCAGGGCAGGAGATTATACAAAAGAATGATGCAGCAGTAACCTCAGAAGGAACAAACTCTAAATAAGTGCTTGGGTAATAATCTGATTAAATGATAGAATCCTACTTATTAAAATTAATGACTATATTATTGACTGGCTACAGGTGCAGGGAAGAGGGCATTGAGAAATGCCACTTTGAATCGCAAAAGACGCTAAGCGAAACAGATAAAAAAAGCATGTAGTACAACGAATGGATGGTTGCAGTGTAAATGTTAGAGAAACCAAGAACCCAAAGGCAAAGATGGTTTGAATTGGGCAAAAGGTCCAGAGAGTTTTGTAAAGAGAATTTCTTGCTTATTGCTAACACCTGCTTCAAGCTGCATAAACAGAGATTCTACACATGATATCACCAGGCGTGCAACATTGGAATCAAATTGACTACGTAATAGGAAACAGAAGATCGAGCAGCGTCGGCCTGGATACTTACAGGATGGAATGGAATGGAGTGTGAATTATTGGCGCTGAAATATGAAGGTTAACCTTAGAAACCTGTAAACAGAGTCCCCTGTGCCAACAAGATGTGACCTCAAAGATCTAACAGTCAGAATTTCAGATCAAGGTAAGGAACAGATACAGTACATTTAACATACATAGAGGAGAAGCCCAGAAGTCATGGGATAAGGTGAACATCAGGAAACCAAAAGAGTTTTTTTTAGAAAATACAACCTTCCTTGAATTTCAGAGAGAAAAAAGAAGTGTCTTTCAGCTGTTGTGATGCCCAGGGAAAGACAAAAGGTGGAAATCTAGCACAAAGGAGAAATCCAAGGAATGAATTCACACTTCAAGTGCAACCTGGAAATCACAAAGAAAGGCCCCATCATCAAGAATGTCAACGAATAAAAAGATAAGGAGAAAAAGGCGGGGTTTTGTTTAAGGAAGATCAGAGAAATCATAAGGAAATCTACGCTTAACAAGTGGGCTCGTCAAGTAATCATGGATGTGCTCTAAAAGAGAGGAATAAATCTGAAAGAAGATGGAAAGATTGTTCTGAAATCCTCATACGATGGGATTGTAGAGTGATGGAAATTTTGCCAAGAGAAAATGAGGCACCACAGAGAATAGACCTGTTGAAGTCACTGCATTAGTACTATCCTCTGTGGCTAGGAGCTACTATTCAGCTGTCCCTGGACTAAATGAAGACCATTGTTTACTTGAGGGTACTGTGCACACCTACCTGTTTTGCGTTTGTGATATGAGACTAGAAGAAAACAACTTGGCAAGGGTGAGAGACAAGCAGAAAGTGAAGTCGGCAGATTAAGTGGATGGGCCGAGATTACAGAAGCTTTGGAAAAATCATAGCTTATTCTGGAGGCAGTTCAAGATAGTGAGCGATTGTCCCTGTGAGTTGAGAGTGTGCATGTGTGTGTCCAGGTTGAGCATTCTGATGAACAATAATGGTATCTTTTCCTAAAAAAAAAAAATTATATTTGATCAAACATAAATCTGGAGTCCCAGAACACTGAACCTATAAATAAATGTCGGCCTGCAATTAATATTTAAATATGTACAGTTTGCCTGCAAGACCAGGTTAGCTAGCTTCCAGGGCTGGCAAAACATCACAGTGGAATAAATCTTACCTCATAAATCACTTTTTTTTTACACCTGAGAAGTGTTTTTGCTTTTTATTTTTTAAAGGGCCAGCAGAATGTATGTATGTATGTATGTATATGTATTTGTTTTCTTAAGTTTTCGCGGGTACTTACATGTATGGCATTCAGCTTTGTTCGGGTATTTTCCCACGTCATTGTAGTTGTGCTTTTAAAGTTGTAGCGATGTTTCAGCAGAATCTCATCTGCCATCATCTGGTTTCTGTATTGTGTTCTATATTTCACAAATATATATCCTGAAGGCCTCTGCAGCCGATAACAGAGCTCCGAATCGATCCGGAGCTTTGTTCTCAGCCTTAGAGGCCTTCATGAAAGGCTTGCAGGCTGGCAAGGCAGGTGTCAGGGTGCACGAGGCCTGGCTACAAGTGTCCAAAGGTAAGTAGTAGGGCAGCTCCACAGACACACCTCTACTCTAGCTTAATGCACTCTGGAGTGGGTGAGGTCTTAATTAGGGCTTATTTTGGGGTAGGGTTTTTATTGGGTGCATGTGTAACGATCAAGCTAGGACTTCCTTTCAGGGTAGGTCATATTTTTGGGAAAACAGGTTATTACATATGAAGGCCATGAAAAGGAAGGCGGATGCTCCTTCTCCAGGAGCCCAATTATAGGGAACGCACATGATTTACATTTCTGTACTATATCCTGAGTTAGATAAGTACACACACCAACACATACCAACTCTCTCTCACACACACACACACACACATCCAATGGAAGTTTAATAGGGTAGAAAAAAATAGAGTAATTGGGGTCTCCTGTCTGTGCATTTTCAAAGGGAAATTATTCGAAGAGACAGCCAAGAACTTTGGTGCAGAAAAGGGCCTTTAATGGTGTGTGCTTAAGGAGACATCTTCTTCTCTTTGCAGACGTACTTCAATGACAATATTCTCACCCTGATACGGACTTTGGTGACGGGAGGGGCCACACCAGAACTGGAGTCCCTGATCGCCGAAGAGAATACGCTTCGGGGTGGCTACAGCACCCCCCAGACGCTGACCAATAGGGACAGGTGCCGGGTGGCTCAGCTGGCCTTGCTGGATGGACCCTTTGCAGATCTTGGGGTAAGGCCCTCACAAGTAGGTGAAAGAAGCTGTAGAAGTTTGGCTGGAGGCTATCCATGAGATGGGTTAGGCCAGAACAACAAACACATTTCGTTCAATGATATGTACGTGAATCTGACATACTAAACAGTTGTTTGATTCCTGTAATCAAAACAAATTGATGGCTTAGGGAAGTTGAAAAGTTTGATATGTAAAATGTTTCCTCCTCTTCCTCCTTCCACTCCCCTCCTCCACTCCTTCTTCTCCTTCTCTTCCTCTTCTCAACCCTTCTTCTTTTCCTTCTCCCTCCCTTCTCCTTCTCTTCTCTACCTTCCCTCCTCCTCCTCTTTCTCTCCCCCTCTTCCTCCTCTTCTTCTCCAACATCCCCCCTTCTCTTCCTCCTTTTCCTTCTCTTCTTCTTCTCCATCTTCCCCCCTCCTCTTCGCTTTCTATTCTCCACCTTCTCTCCTCTTCTCTTCCTCTTATCCACTTTCCCTCCTTCTCCTTTTCCTTCTCTTCTTCTCCATCTTCCCTCCTCCTCTTCCTCCTCCTCTTTGCTTTTTCCCCCCTCCTCCTTGCTTTTCCTAGACCAAGGTGAGACAGTCCTTTCCTATGACATCATTTTCTCCTTGCCAAAATCCAAATTAGCTTCATGACAATTAAGAACAAGAACAAATGAAGCTGTTTCCAAGTTTAGAGCAAGAAAGCGAATGTGGCATGTTCATAATCATCCCCGATTGCATTGCTCTTTTTTTTTTTTAAAAAAAGTTTTTTTATTTTAACAACAAACAAAACAACATAAGACATACAACATAAAAACATCATCCTTCTACATAAATTTATTGCATTGCATTGCTCTTAATTTGTGGAAAAGCTGATCTGCGTACCCCATGCTTGGGAATTCATTTCAAATAAAGTTCCATTGGTATCCCCATTTCCCATTCTTTGATTGTGGTTAGGGTGGTTGTGCACATATTTATTAGCTGCTCCGAGATTAAACATTTAAATGAGACAGTTCCTCGAGGAATTGTCTCTTACTCTCAACAGATTCCCTTACACATTTTTTCTTTCTTTGGCAAGGAACTACCAATTTACTGTAAATTATTAATCTCATGTTCTGTGTCTTAGTGATAACTGAGGCATTGGAGGCGGGGAGAATGACATTTCTTTTATGCATTTGTTTGTTTACTTATTGTTTCCCAGGACGGTGGTTGTTATGGAGATCTATTTTGTAAAGCTTTGAAAACTTACAATATGCTCTGCTTTGGAATATACCGATTAAGAGATTTCAATTCAAGCACGCCTAGCCAATGCACGAAACGGTATGTGTAAACTTTGGAACCTGATCCTTATTATTTTAAATGTTTCCAACCGTTCATTGTGTTTTGTTTTGTTTTTACTGCAGAAAATAGTTGTTCAATACCTTTACCCCTGATAGCAACAGATACCTCTTTGCTTCCGGACAGAAATAAATAGAAATAGACTTCTGCGTTTAAAAACACTCTGTGTTTGATAGGACCTGCCAACCAGAACGTTTAAATTTCCCACAATTCTCTCTTGAGCGAGATGTTGAAAGGAAAGGAAGAAGAGTTTTTGAGGGCCTGGGGGATGACATGAATTGTAATTTAACCTTAGTCCTGGATTTTGTTGTGCTGTCCCTTTAGATCGAAGTGGTGGGATGAATGGTAATCCACACAGCCCAATCCATTGTGTTTATTATATATCTGTCCTATAACTTGTCGTTGAGGACAGTTGTTGAATTTCAGGAAATCTGGCACATTCAGAGATGGTATTCAACAGGTTCTGGCCAGTTTTGGAGAACCAGTAGCGGAAATTTTGAGTAGTTCAGAGCAGGGGTGGGATGCTACCAGTTCTGCCCGGTTCTATAGAGCCAGTAGCTCTGAAGAGCAGCAAACACCAAACCGGTTCTGTGTTTGCTGCTATTTGGCCCACCTGCCCACTTGGGCTCTTACCTGTCCTATATTTCCTGCTTTTTCAACCTCAGCTGCTTTGCGTGGCACAGCTAAGCTTGAAAAAGCAGGGAAAAATAGGCTTTTCAAATGCTGCGCACCTACGCGCAGCACTTTTCGGGCACCACAGCCTAAGGTTGTTTTATACACGCGCATAGCAAAACGTAGTCACCGGAACTGGTAATAACAATGGTTGAATCCCACCCTTGGTTCAGAGAACCGGCAAATCCCACCTCTGACTGGAGATTTTACAGAATCCTTCTCCTGTCACGCCCATCAAGCCATACCCACAGAACCAATAGTAAAAAAAAATTGAATCCCACCCCTGGGCACATTGTACTGTTTCATAAAAGCAATGTACAGAAGTTCAAAGTTAAAACGGCACTGAAAAAAGTGACCATTTTTTACATGCCGCCTTTCCCACGGTCACACGATCAAAATTCAAGATGCTTAGCAACTGTCTCATACTTATGACGATTGCAGTGTCCTGGGGGGGGGGCGGTCAAGCAATCCTCTTTTGCGACCGTCTGACAAGCAAAGTCAGCGGGGAAGCCAGATTCACTTAACAACGGGGTGACCAACTTAACAACTGCAGGGATTCACTTAACAACTGTGGCAAGAAAAGTGGCGAAATGGGGTAAACTCACTCAACAAATGTTTCACTTGAATTTGAGAGTCAGTTGTGACTCTCAAACTCTAAGACTGCCTGTCTAGTAGTATACACCCCCAACTAAACCTCAAACCTGGGGGTGCTTCCAACTGAAAATTCAGCAACTTTTGGAAAGCAGCTTTGGTTAACAGATTTATTTGTTCTGGAAAGATTTCATACTGTACTTCCCTTCCTGGTCTTTAAGGGGAGGGCTCTCCTGATGGATTTACAACCTGCCTTCTGTAACCCAGAGGCAATACGCAAGCAACAAAATTAAGATTAAGAGTTGCATCTGTTTCTCGTTTCTTTTTCTTTTTTAATCTAAGGCCTAACAGGCATTCAAAGAAGCAAGCTTGCAACCTGCTGTCTTTTGGGGGTGACTTTTGCAGCCCAGGAAGCTGCAATGGGTGCAGAATGCTGCGGCATAGAAGGTTCTGGAGAACCCCTCAGTTGGCCCATATCACACTGAGGCTACACTAGCTGTACTGGTTGCCGCTTCCAGGTCCAACTCAGGGTTTTGTTTATCACCCATAAAGCTCTTTATGGCCGGGATACAGCCATGTCCCCTAAATAGGATTGGTCTATCCCACTTGCTCCAGCAGGAAAGGCCTACTCCAGATCCTGTCTGTCAAAGAACTTTGTCTGGTGGGGTCCAGGGGAAGAGCCCCAACCCCCTGGAAGTGTCTCCTGCTGGAGGTGAGGGCCGCTTCGACAATCTTGGCCTTCTGGGAGAGCCTAAAACTTGCCTCTGCTAGTTGACCTGGGCCCCAATAGGCTGGTGGTGGCTGACACACTAGAAGATCCCTGCCACCATGTGGCCTCTCCTCTTGGTGTTTTTTTTAAATTTTCCTAATTTTAAATGTTTTGTATTATCCTTTTTATTACTTTTTGTTATTATTATTCTAGGAGCTGCCCAGAGTTGCTGCAACAGTGAGATGGGCAGAAAAAGAAAGAAAGAAAGAAAGAAAGAAAGAAAGAAAGAAAGAAAGAAAGAAAGAAAGAAAGAAAGAAAGAAAGAAAGAAGGAAGGAAGGAAGGAAGGAAGGAAGGAAGGAAGGAAGGAAGGAAGGAAGGAAGGAAGGAAGGAAGGAAGGAAGGAAGGGGAAAGGAAAAGGGAAAGAATGAGGGAAAGAAAGAGACAGAAGGAAGGAAGAAAAGGAAGAAATGAAAGAAAGAAAGAGAGAGAAGGAGGAAAGACAGTCAGAAGGAAGGAAGAAAAGGAAGGAAGAAAGAAAAGAGAGAGGGAGAAGGAAGGAGGGAGAAAGAAAGAAAGAACTCATGTACAGGTCAGAACCTAGAAAGATAATGAAAGGGAAATAAATAACAGAATAACAAACAGAATAATAAAGTATCAGAATTACAGAATAACAAAACTGGAAGGGACCTTGGAGGTCTTCCAGTCCAGCCCCCTGCTCAAGCAGGAAACCCAATACCATTTCAGACAAATGGTTGTCCAGTCTCTTCTTGAAAGCCTCCCATGTTGGAGCTTTCACAACTTCTGGAGGCAAACCATTCCACTGGTTAATTGTTCTCACTGTTAGGAAGTTTCTCCTTAATTCCAGGTTGTGTCTCTCCTTGATAGGTTTCCATCCATTTTTTCTTGTGTTTTTTTTTTCCTTTTCTTTTCCAGTTTTGTTATAGCCAACCCACCTTATGAATTCGAACTGGTTCCGACTGACTGGATCTTCTGCTTGATGCAGTACGACCACAACGCCGGCCAGTCTCGGGCGAGTCTCTCTCACTCTTCCCACTCTTCGTACGCATCTAGCAAGAAAAGCTCTTCGGTCCATTCTCTGCCAGCTACGGCGAATCGACAGAACCGCCCAAAGTCCAGAGAATCCCGGGAAAAGCAGAAGTACGTGCAAGAAGATAGACTTTGACTCATGCCTCTCCTCTCCCTGTGTGTGAAGCTGTATCCACCACTCATCCTTTCCTAATTGGTGTGTCCAATAATCAGCCTCCCCTGTTCTCCTCGTCTTCCCCCATGGATCCCCCATTTTATACACATACTTGGCATACGTATGACAGCATGCATGGGACTGTCATTTTTTTTATTTTGATACCATGAAACCCTTTTAAGCACAACAGCAACCAGGCAGACAGACCAAACCTCATTTACAATGTGGAGCAGATTGATAAGGAGCGAACTGCTAAAAAGCAGAGCAATTTTGCCTCTCTGGTGAGATAATTTTGGGTGTGGTATTTTTTCTTTTTGAAAGAAGTCAACTTCAGAGATAAGTTTACTTAAGGTACGAGTTGGAGTGGGGGGGGAGGGGAGAGAGAGAGATTTCACAGTCACACACCTGAAGTCGGGATTCTCCCAACGGAATCATTTCGCAAGAAACCTACCAGGGAGATGAGAAAATTCAGTCCCTTGGACTGCAGATAGAATCAGGGGTGGGATTCTACCGGTTCAGCCTGGTTCACGCGAACCGGTTGTTCCGGTGATCATTTGGCCACACCCGCCCACCCCTACTCTTTCCTGTGCTTTATTTCTGTGTTTTGCAGCTCAGCTGATTCGCGCGGCACAACAGATTGCCGCGCCTCAGCTGTTTTTACCCACAGTAGAAGATAAGGATTAGAGCTGAAAATGAGTGGTTTTCAAATGCTGTATGTGTGCACACAAAGTGTGCATGAAGTGCGCACTCACCAAACTGGTTGTTACACTGGTTGAATCCTACCACTGGGTAGTATGTGTCTTGCCCACCATTGTTGTTGATTTTTCCCACAATCTTACACACATGCTGTTACACTAAAGTAACGTTAGCCTTATCACAGTGCCTTCTTCCCTTTAATACCAATCTATCAAAAAATGGTCAGGGATGTCATTTTCCCCATTGTAGTGATTTAACCTTTTTTTTCTTTTAAATTTAAAAAAAAAATATCCGCTTGCATATTAAAAGTCCCATCTAGCCCATCACACGAATAACTGTATTTTCCTCTCCCTTTTTGACATCCGGGATGAAGTGCTACACATAATTCATAAATATTGAATGCAACTCATTAGGATATTCCTTCCGGAGACTTTGACTTCTAATAAAAGGTGAATTTGTCACCTGGTGTACAAAATAAATGAGGTAAAAAGCCAAGGAGCATATGTAGAATATTCAAAACAGAGCAGAAAGTTTTCCTTCTTTAAGCACATGAGCCATTGTGGTGCAGTGGTTAGAGTGAAGTACTGCGGGCTACTTCTTCTTATTGCCAGCTGCCTGCAATTGGGCAGTTTGAATCTCATCAGGTTCAAGGTTGACTCAGCCTTCTGTCCTTCCGAGGTGGGTAAAATGAGGACCCAGATTGTTGGGGGCAAGAGGCTGACTCTGTAAACCCGCTTAAGAGGGCTGTAAAGCACTGTAAAGTGGTATATAAATCTAGGTGCTATTGCTATCTTCCTCCCTCCCAGTGGTTAGAATACGGTATTGCAGGCTAACTCTGCCCCCTGTCAGCAGTTCGATCCTGACTGATCAGCTCAAGGTTTACTCAGCCTTCCATCCTTCTGAGGTCAGTAAAATAAGGACCCAGATTGTTGGGGGCAAAAGGCTGACTCTGTAAAGCACTATAAAGCACTATAACGCAGTATATAAGTAAAGCACTATAAAGCAGTATATAAGTCTAAGTGAGGGATTTTTTTCCCCCTCCCTGCTTGGGAGATTTTTAATTTAGTGAATACCTCAAGAAAGACACACACCTTGAAGAAAAGGTGGGATCAGGTCTTAGCTAATAGACTTGGCAAGACTGTTTGACAATGAAAAAATATAGGGAAGTCCTCAACATACAACAGTTCATTTAGCGACCATTCAAAATTACCACGGCACTGAAAAAAGGTGACTTATGACCGTTTTTCACACTTACAACCTTTGTAGCACCCCCACAATCACGTGATCAGCATTCAGAGGTCATGGGATCCCCTTTTGCGGCCTTCTAACAAGCAAAATCAAGAGGAGACCAGATTCACTCAACAGTTGTGCTACTGTTTAATTGCAGTAATTCACTTATAAAACGGTGGCAAGAAAGGTCGTAAAATGGGGCAAAACCCTCTTGACAAACCCACTCAACAACAGAAATTGTGGGCTCAATTGTGGTCGTGAGTCGAGGACTACCTGTACCAGCCGATTTTAAAAGGTTAAAAAGAACCCACCAAACAGGTTGCCTTCTCTGTCCTTTGGTAACCACTCTAATAGATTTGCCAAATCTCACTTCCTTATTCAGTGTTTCAAGTAAGGGTTGAATTCAACACACCTTAGGAGTGTTTCCAAGCACAGGAGCACCTTTTATTTTTCGATCCACACCCCTCTCATCACTCAAAAAGATTTTACTTCCAGAACAATAGGTGTCCATATGTAGACATAGTGCCGTTGTTGTCTTGCAGACATGATGGTGTTACCTAGTTGGGTAATGAAACATGTGCAAGAAAGTTTGGAGAGCACCCAGCACCCCACAGAACTCCTCCTCCTCCTCCTCTTCTCTTTTCTCTGCTTCACAAAACCCATTCCATTATATCACTGACGTTACCTAGTTGGGTAATGAAACATCTGCAAGAAAACCTCCAAGTTCAGAGAACATTAAGGATCCCACAGTTCTCCTCCTCCTCCTCCTCCTCCTCCTCCTCCTCCTCCTCCTCCTCCTATCCCTTCACCTGGTCCACAAACCCATTCCCTGCAAGAAAACCACCAAGTTCAGAGAACACTAAGGATCCCACAGCCCTTCTCCTCCTTCTACTTCCCCCTTCTTTCTCTGATCCACAACCCCCATTCCCTTCTATCACTGATATTACCTAGTTGAATAATGAAACTTCTGCAAGAAAACCACCAAGTTCAGAGAGCACCGAGAACCCCACAGGTCAGCTCTGAGCTTCTCTTCTGTCGGAATCATAGCATATTTTTCTTAATAGAGCCCCTAGCATTCATTTTCCCAGCCCACTTCCCACTCAACTGATCTCATACTTCTGGAGGTTGGTGATGCTTTGTAGATTGCTCCTTATTTGCCCGTTAATCCAGCTGCATTATTGGTGGTGTGTTTATGTGCAAACAACACTGCTGCTTAATTCTTCCCTGTTGCGTGTTGCAACAAGCATATTTACAGGCCACATAAATACAGCCTATGGGGCATGTTCCTTTTTTTTTTTTTTGAGGCCATCATTCTTTAGTCTTTTTTGCAATATGCTGATATATCCCAAACATATTCCTTCGCTGCTCTTATTTTATTTGTTGCGACTTCATCACGTTGTTTTGAAAGACCCTGGCCAAGCTACCTGCCATTGCAGTCCATTTATTGGCGACTGGAAGAAATGGACTCCAAACTGAACATGCAGAAGTTATGTTTCTAAGCCATCCATGCTGCACTTTGAAATTCTGCTCCACATTTTTTCCCCCACTTCGCTGCAGAAAGTGACTCCCTTGCAATCGTACAATTCCTTCCCTCCCCTCTTCTTCTTTTTTTTTT